TCCTCGAAAAAGCTCTGCCTCCGAATCATCCCGATTTGGCTACTTCCTACAATAATATCGGTCATGTGTATAACAACATGGGTGACTACTCAAAAGCACTTGAATTTTATGAAAGATCACATAAAATCTACGAAAAAGCTCTGCCTCCGAATCATCCTCATTTGGCTAGTTCCTACAGCAGCATTGGTGGAGTGTATAACGACATGGGTGATTACTCGAAAGCACTTGAATTTTACGAAAAATCACTTCAAATAAGAAAAAAAGCTCTGGCTCCGAATCATCCCGATTTGGCTAGTTCTTACAACAACATCGGTCTAGTGTATAACAAAATAGGTGACTACTTGAAAGCAGTTCAATTCTACGAAAAATCACATCAAATAAAAGAAAAAGCTCTGCCTCCGAATCATCCCTCATTGGGTATTTCCTACAACAACATCGGCTCGGTGTATCATGACCTAGGTAACTACGCAGCAGCTCTTAGGGCCCTTCAAAGTGCTTTTCAAATTCAACAACAAGCATTTCAAGTAAGTAATCCTGCTTTTGCTTCAACATATAGTTGGCTGGGAAGAGTTTATCGCAGTTTGAAAGATTATTCAAAAGCACTTGATAATTTCGAAAAATGTCTCGCAATAGTTCAAAAAACGTTACCTGAAAGACATCCCAATCGAGCTATTACATATAGTAATATAGGTGATGTTCATCGATTAATGGATAATTATGAAAAGGCACTTGTATTTCATCAAAAAGCATTAAATATTCAAGAAAATGTTCAATGTGATCCTACGGACTGTGCAACGACATATATGAATTTAGGTGAAACTTATCGTGAAATGAAAGATTATTCAACAGCATTGACATTTTATCAAAAAGGATTAGAAATACATGAAAATAAATTATCACAAAATCATCCTGATTTAGCTGTTGTATATCATAATATGGCAAAATTATATTTGGCTACACGAAAATATAGTATGGCAATGAAAAATATTCAACAAGCAGTTGAAATAGCTCAAGAAAAACTACCTTCAACTCATCCTCATCTTTTGGAATATAAAGAAACATTTGAAAAAATTCGAAAGAAAATGTAATTTTTGTTTTCACTTACTTGCTCAATAAATTGGTTTTGATTCCTTTTCACTTCCCGACTTTTCTAGGCTCATTTTCACGTGTACGCGCGCGCGCGACTAGGGAGAGGCCCTATGCGTATGAAACAGGTACATACAGAGCGGACCACGCCGGACTGGTAGGGCAATGTACGTAGGTGTACCCTACATAATGACGGCAGGGACCTACGTACATTAAAGGCCTTCCCGAATACTACACTGCTTTCGCCATTCCATGACGAATAGAATCTCTCTCTGGATCAGGTTACGAAGCCACCTGACAAGGCTGTGATATAAATTGGTATTTATCTTCTAACATAAATAACATAGACTTAACATAATAATAATAGTATACACTAAATGTGTACAACAACGAAGAAAAAAATTATTTCATCAGAAATAAATCATCTATATCTCATTCTAACATTATCTCAATGTGAGTATTGTTATGAAAATTTAATTTAGAATTGTTCTTTCAAGAAAACAAAAAAAAAAGTTTTTTTTTATCTTTCAACTATTAATTTATTTGTTCAAGTCTTTCTCAAGATAAATAAGATAATTTTTGAAGCAACATACCCAATCTTGTTATTGGTATAAATCAATAATAAATCATATTCTTTTTTAACATTCTCATGTTTTTTATAATTTCATATAATTCATAAAAAAAAACAGATGAATTCTAAAAATATCATAGAATAAATTTCTATCATAAATCAATATATCCTAACATATATTATCATTGAAATCAAAAACATTGTAAAAAAATATGAATCATAATATAACATCATTGAATAAATGAATGAATGAATTTCATTATAAATTAATGCATTGTAAAGCAATGAATTTAAATAACATCATTCAATAAAT